TATACACTTCCACCGAAGTTTAGGACATATTCGTTTCAAAAAAGCTCTGATTATTTCATTTTTTTGGAAGTATAAAATTCTTTAACGCATTTTTTTGTCTTTAGCTGAGTTAATTTAGATTTTTGTGATTGCATATATATCGAATAAATGCGCATTAATATTATTTTATAGATTTCTTTTACTGTCAATTTTAACTGTTACTAATTAAAATTACTCCTTTGGGTTTAAATTACCACTTCCCATTCACTCATATTTTTCCCAGTATCCGACCTTTTTTTATGTTATTCTCTATTTTTGTTATCACCATCATTATTATTGTTATCACCATTGCTAGAATCGCTGTTTCCTTATCGTTATAAATATTATTTAGTACGAAAATTTCTTTCAAAAACTCGTTTTCTTGTTTTGGTTCTGCCAGCCATACTAAACCGAATGTCACTCAGCGCAGCTGTTAAGTTCATGGCTCCGAAAGAGATGCTTGCCGAAATATCGCCAGCTTATTGTTGATAAAAACGATGATTCACAACAGCAGCAGCAGATTAACCATAGCGTTGAAGGTGAGGAAAGCCAGCAGCGCGATTCGGCTCCTTTTGTTCCTGTTGTTACAACTGCAACAGTACGCGAGTGCCTGGGCAATACCGAACCTGGTTAGTTCAATTTCCACCAGTCCTGGTGTCATTTTTGAATGAAATAATTGAGCAGGAGACAAGGGATCAATCTAAATATCATTTGCAAGAAGATATGTTAAGATGTAGTCTGTGTTTCACCCCTAAGCTGTAAACACAGACCGAACGTGGCATGTGTCTAGTAGTGGGAATCATCAGTACAGCCTCATACCCACCATGTGTCCATGATGAGTGTGTCTCAATTAGCGTAGGGCTAGAGGAATGAGAATAGGGGTAGAATAATGAGAAGGCGAAATAGAAGACGAGAGACTAATGCAACCGTTGGCGGATCCTTTCCCCCTCTCCCTCCAGCGGCACAGGCAGTACTGCTAAAAGTGAAGAAAACTGTTTTCGACAGCCGTCGTCGTCCCCTCCCCACTCCCTCCGCCACAGAAGTCCCGGTTTCGATCGCTGTCGGTAGGGCTGATGAGGTGAAAGGGGGGTTGGGGGAGAGTACGATTTCCGACGTAGTAGCCCAGGAGGGCGCCCTGGATCCGTCTATGAATGTAACGACCATGTAGTGCTGTAAAAATTGCGCAGCGGAATGTATTCTCAGGGACTCCTTTCGCTGTATAATTTTAACAGTTTCATAATTTTTCTATGCAGCGACTTCTTACCATTTTTCTAAAACGGCTTACTTTCTGTCCTACGTGAAAGTACGTGATGGCTGCGGGGGTTATTCACGTGCCATTAGGCTTCATTCTTTCGTTCATTGAATGCTGTTAGCGTCATTTTTGTGCTTTCGTTTCTGCACATCCTTTCACCAGTTATCACATGATTTTTGTTCACTGAGTGTATTGTTACAGTGCAAAAGGGCTCATTTTGTGCAAAAAAGCTGATTATGTGCCAGCTGTTTGGTATTTACGCAGGCTTTGGAATTATTTTTTCATCATCGGCTCCATTTTTCTCAGTTTCGGATATTTTCAGAGCAGATCGCTTACATCAATCCGAAAAGCGAACATTATCTACCCGGCCCACTACAGCAGTATAAAGCGTTTGTGTTTTGCGCAACTCCGGATACCAACTACTTAAATTCTTCGTTCAAAGCTGCTCGTGCAGAAAAGTTGAACTCCTTTCGCCTGCCTATCAGTCAGTTTGTAAAGTAAGTAGAAGTTTTAAATTATGGTGACAGTATGGTGGAAAATTTTCCATTTAGTGCATGGATTTGTTTTGCCAATCTCTCTTAAGTTTACGGATGGGCAGCCGACGGCCCGCGGTGGGAATTGGAGTATGGTACCTAACTAGACGAACGGGAGTTTGTATTCCGTCACGCCTCTGCACTCTCATGAAAATAAATAATTAGCAACGCGCACCAGACTAGCCGGTGCGATAATGCGTTTTGTGCAATTCAGCCCATCGAACAATCGTTTATTAATGATTTTCACTGCTCTGTACTTTAGTCTATGCAAAAACAGTTTAAACATTGGAAAACAGTTAAAAATTTCACGCACGGCGCATGAAAGCTGGATTCGAAACCTTGAAGGGTGAATATCTTTCCGTGATACCCTAGTTAATAGTTTAATCGCCAAAATTCTCACGAGGCCGTAGGTGATACTCAACAGCGAGGGAGCGCTGAATTTGAATAGGCA